TTGCCGAACTAGGCTGGAATTCCTGGGCTCGATCGTAGCGCCACCAGTGGTTATTACGAGTTATGTCCCTTCTAAACCTCTCCTATGGACCATTCAGACTCCACCTCGCGTATCGCTTGCATTTGATTCAAAGAAGACGATCTGATGGATAATCAATATCTATATTGTGATAAAATGGGTCTTACATCGCGAAGTGCATCAAATCATGGGAGCACCTTGATTAAAATCATGAAAAGATTCGGAAAATATCTGTTGACAACGAGATGGCGGTGCACATGCTTTGTAAATCCTGCAATCGACCAAATCTGCACGACAGTTTACAACCGGATTTCGATTTCGGTGCGCGATTTTGATTGGACTATGCATAGACTCGTTTGTCCAGCCAAACTGTAACTCCATAATACCAGCCTTGTTCGGCAAGGGTGGAAACTGGACTTTTATAGTCAGTTAACTCACTTGCCTAGGGAAGATGAATACAGATATGTTATGACAAGATTTGGCATTCTTAAAAATCAAGGTGTTTGGAAACAGACGGGCCTTCGTGGTATCTGCAATAAATACTTGCCGTGTGTTAAGCATGCCTATTTAAGCCATTAGGCCTGGGCTAGCACCGACACTGCCGGTGTAATTATAGCATACAATACATCAGGCTTGCCAACGACAGCCCATGGGAGTGCTAGGGAACAGTCAGTATTTACAAGGCCGACCCTGCGGACAGTACTGTGCCCTCTAGGGAGCAGTCAGTATTTACATGGCCGACACTGCGGACAGTACTGTGCCCTCTAGGGAGCAGTCAGTATTTACATGGCCGACACTGCGGACAGTACTGTGCCCTCTAGGGAGCAGGGGGCGGTCGGGTAGCCTAGTGGTTAAAGCGTTCGCTCATCACGCCGAAGACCCGGGTTCTATTCCCGACATGGGTACAATGTGTGAAGCCCATTTCTGGTGTCCCCCGCCGTGATATTGCTGGAATATTGCTAAAAGCGGCGTAAAACCATACTCACTCACTCACTCCAGGAAGCAGTCAGTATTTACATGGCCGACACTGCGGACAGTACTGTGCCCTCTAGGGAGCAGTCAGTATTTACAAGGCCGACACTGCGGACAGTACTGTGCCCTCTAGGGAGCATTCAGCATTTACAAGGCCGAGACTGCGGACAGTACTGTGCCCTCTACGGAGCAGTCAGTATTTACAAGGCCGACACTGCGGACAGTACTGTGCCCTCTAGGGAGCAGTCAGTATTTATAAGGCCGACACTGCGGATAGTACTTTGTCCTCTTGGAAGAAAGCTCTCCTTAATCAATTCACGAACAACGACATTCCAAATCTGGTCTGATATATGAATAAGAAAGGCGTTAGGCTGTAACCGAATTGATAAGAAACCATGTCATGAGGAATAATGTAATGACTAATTTTCACTCGGTGAGTAGTTTTTTAGTTGGAGGTATGTGTTTTATGTGTGAAGAAGGGTGTATTATAAAGCTCCCCGACAGGGGGATATACAGTGAAACCTCGATAATTATCAATCGTACGGATTAACACATTTTGTGATTGATGATAGTGGGAATGTCCGTTGAATCACATACACACGAAGACTAATGGGTAAAGACTAAAGTGGTCTTGACTAACGGGGTGCAGACTAACGGGGTCTAGACTAAAGTGGTCCAGACTAACGGAGTCCTGACTAACGGTGTGCAGACTAACGGGGTCTAGACTAAAGTGGTCCAGACTAACGGTGTCTTGGCTAACGGTGTGCAGACTAACGGGGTCTAGACTAAAGTGGTCCAGACTAACGGGGTGCAGACTAACGTGGTCCTGACTAACGGGGTGCAGACTAACGGAGTCCTGACTAACGGAGTGCAGACTAACGGGGTCTAGACTAAAGTAGTCCAGACTAAGGGGGTCCAAACTAACGGTGTCTTGGCAACTGGTGTGCAGACTAACGGGTCTAGACAAAAGTGGTCCAGACTAACGGGGTGCAGACTAACGTGGTCCTGACTAACAGGGTTTCGGACAAACGGGGTCTAGACTAAAGTGGTCCAGACTAACGGGGTGCAGACTAACGGGGCGCAGACTAACGGGGTCCTGACTAACGTGGTCCAGACTAACGGGGTCTAGACTAACGGGTGCAAGACTAATGGGATCCTGACTAACGGGTCCTGACTAAAGTGGTACTGACTAACGGGGTGCAGACTAACGGGGTCCAGACTAATGGGTGCCAGACTAATGTGGTCGTGACTAATGTGGTCCTGACTTAAGTGGTCCTAACTGACGTGGTGCAGACTAACGGAGTCACAATGTATTGTGATTAACAAATGTATAGGTGCTATTAACTCTGTGTGTGTGAGGGAGATTGTGTGTGTCTTGTAGTTTTCTTGTATAGCTTCCGTATCTGGGGTAGCTGAAGTGACCTTAACATTTACCACTCCATCACTTAGTATTACAATTACAACGACGTCTTTTAATTGTTATCTCACAATTATTCGGCCTTTACGTCAAACTGAAGGAAAAATGGTCGTTCAGGGATATCTAGTGTGCCACAAATTCTGTTAGACGAACATTCCACTGCAGTCAGTTCTGGAATTAGAAAATTAACATGGGCCCCATCAGAATGTAATGCAAGATCCCATTTCCACTTAACCTATTCCCAGCTTTGGTGAAACCCACCCACCTGCGGCCTTAGATTACTGTAGGCTATAACCCGATAAGCTTAATGAGGTCTGAAAGCGGATATGGTTTGTTAAAAAGTGGCACCTGTTTCCGAAGTCGGAAGGGCATTTACATGTCCAGCTCTCCGTGCTTGTCATTAACTTATATTTATAACACAAGTGGGAGGCGGTGTGCGTTTCAACAATGTATAATTACCTAGAGGATACCTACCTGGCATTCACGTCATGTCTGGGTTTACCACATAAGACTTGAGTGAAAGGCTGCCGTTTTACGTCACAACATTCCAGTTATAACAGGATGGCTGGGCAGTGATCGAGTCTAGACCCAAGGGACCAATGTCTCGGCATTGGTATCGATCTGCGCCGTCTATGCACGATCACAATAAAACCGGTAACATATTATGACCCATCGTCCATTAACCAGTATGGTATAACCCGTGAAGATCCGAGCGGGGATTTGGTCTTCAGCAACCCATGCTTGCCGTAAGAGGCGACTGTGCTTGTCATAAGAGGCGACTAATGGGATCAGGTGGTCAGGTTCGCTGACTTGGTTGATGCATGTCATCGTATCCCAATTACGTGGATCGATGCTCATGATGTCAAGCACTGGAATGTCTGGTCTAGACTCGAGTATTTCCAGACCGCCGACATATAGCTGGAATATTGCTGAGTGCGGCGTTAAACAACAAACAAAATATGTCCATTTTCTGTTGTTAAAAATACCGTGGACGATAGCTTCGTTTTGAGGCAGATTCGAATGACCCGAGAGACACGCCGAAAAACGGGTTCAATGCCCCACATGGGTACAATTTGTGAAGCCAATTTCTGGTGTCCCCCGCCGTGATACTGCTGGAATATTGCAAAACGCGGTGTAAAATCATAGTCACTCAATCACTGAAGCGAGATACAATTTGTACAAGGCGAGTGACACGAGCGGTGGTTATTATTCGGCCCTTTCCGTTAGCTGCAAGGAGACTCGGTCCCTTATCGATGAATGGTATATGCGAACCTACGACAAATCAATCAGAATGCGCGAAAGACTTCAAGCACTTCGGTCAAATAATCCCTTAGGAATAATTTTTGAATTTACACATGTCTTGCATCTAACAATATACCAAAGATACAGTTAAATGTATTCAAGCATACTGTATAATACCGTACATCCCGATGTGTTGAATAGCATCTGGTATATATATGGTATATTGGGGAAATATATGTGAATCACTACGCAAAGAGTTGACAATTCTTTTAGTTATGCCCGTTTACCATTCGTCACCACTCGCCCCTTTTCGTAACCTGCAAGAAGACCCGTCCCCCTATCGATGAATGTTATGTGCGAAAATACGACAAACCAATCAGAATGCGCGTATGATTTCAAGTTCTTCGTCAAAGAATTTCCTCAGAAATAATTGTTGGTTTTACATACGTCTTGCATTAAAAAAAATACCCAAGACACAATTAAATGTGTTCAATTATACTGTATAATTCCGCACGTCCCAATGTGCTTTAAATTTCATCTGAAATATATATAATACATGGGGAAATATATGTGAACCATTACACATCGAGTTGACAATTGTTTTAGGTATGTCCAATTGCGCAAAGACGGAATCCGGTCGCAAAATTGGCCATGAGAGGGGCACGAGTCGCTATTCGGCTTGTCCCGGAATAACACGAGTTGGTCACGAATGGCCCGTTTACGCTTAGACGGAACCCAGTCGCAAAATGGCTTCGAGAGGAACGCGAGTCGCTTTTCGGCTTGTCACGGAATAACACGAGTTGGCCAGAATGTGATAGGAAAAATAGAGATGTGACGTATAAGCGTTACTTCCGAAACGAAGCTATATATGGTGGCGTTAGAGCCCAGAGTATTGTCATAGCATGGATCTAAATAATGTACTTGATAATGGAGGGTGTATGTCGCCACACGGCCCTAATTTCATTCTGATCTTATGACAATCAAAGGATGCGAGAGACATCCTGGCAAGAAACTCCCCTTTGGTTCTCACGAAGTACAATTTCCCTCTGTTGTAAAACTACTTAGCCGTTGTGATCAACTCGTTGAGGGCAATATGGACTGGTTTGTACCGGCCTGTACCGGGGTGAATAGATTCTTTGGAGCCGTGGAATTGATATGGCTTCTGTCCAACACAATTATCTTACATACAATATCAATAATACCTTTTTTGTGTGTATAACAAAATGTAACTTCCTTTCGGCATTGTCTCAACAGAAAAAAAGTCAAACCCTTGATAAATAATAAAAACGAAAAAATTAAATAATGTCTCATGTAGCCTATGTAACTGTGTTTGAATTTGTTTTTCTTCCAGGCGTTGACTTTGTTAAGAAAATATTCGAAGTCGATGGCGCCCTTATCCAGCTGGTGATATGGTGAGTATTGATGAGTGAGTGAGTGAATAGGGTTTAACGCTCCTTTGAACAGTGTCCGCTTATCTGACGGCGTGTCAGCGTAAGAGGAAAAGGAACCTCGTGACCAAGGATCATTATCAGAGCGAGTCTGGGATTCAAACCAGGTTCAGCGGATCCTAGCTAGGCTAAGGGAAGCAACTTTGCATACAACTTTTCTGAAACTTCTCTGGCCGCCGTGTTGTCTTGGTAACAATGATGCTTGTTGTTTAACGCCGCACTTAGCAATATTCCAGCTATTTGACGCGGTCTGTCAATAATCAAGTCTGAACCAGTCGACAGTGATTGATATTAAGAGTAACGACCCATGCCGTCGGTCAACGATGACAGACAATAATTTTAGAGAGTCGCACTCGATCGCCGTATTGAGTCGGCTCTTCACAAACATGGGATACTACCCCGGAATCTCCAAGGGTTTAATAAAATGCATATTCTAAATATTTTACCTTGTCGCAACAAATGTTTTTATTCATATCTCAACCTGTTCAGTGAATTGTGATTTTGAAATTTACTATCCTCGTGACACAGGGACACTGCGGGGCAGGAGCGGTTCCGGTCCATCACCAAATACCAGTATAGAGGAGTGCAGGTACGTAGTCGAGTCTGAACCAGGGAAACCAGTGAGCGATAGTGTGAGCACATCTCGCTATCTGGGTTCACTGCATTGGTGTCATTATTTCGCCTGTGATTGACAGGGCATTCCTTTTTTTAACTTTGGTGTGCAGTGAGCGAGTGAATGTTGTTTAACACCGCAGTCAATAACATTTCGACCCGTGGAGATCCGGGGTACCATAGGTCTTCAGCAACCAAAAGACGACTATGCGAAAGAGGGGACTAACGGGGTCGGGTGGTCAGGTTCGCTGTCTTGGTTGATGTATGTCATCGTATTCCAATTGTGTGGATCGATGTTCATGATGTCAATCACTGGAATGTCTGGTCCAGACACCATGATTTACAGACCGCCGTCATACAGCTAGAATATTGCTGAGTGCGGAGTTATTAAACAACAAACAAACAAACAAACAAACAGTAACATTTCAGCTAAAGGTCGGCGTCGATTTAATAATAGAGTTTAGGCCATGGGAAATTTGTACACTGTATGGTTGAGTAAGTGTGCCTGAATACTGCTGAGAATATATAATATAAGTATAATTGTTGTATAATAGGTGAGGCGGTGGGGTGGGGTGGGGTGTGGTGGGGTGTGGTGTGGTGGGGTGGGGTGGGGTGGGGTGGGGGTGGCCCAGTCGTCGAAGACGCCGCGATTCGCTGTGCAGAGTTGCGTCCCTTGGGCACGCCAGAAACCTATGATTGTGGGTTCGAATCCCGTTCGCCCCGATTATGTTTCTAGGTTTGTCAGCACCATACCCGTGCTCGTGGGTGTCACCGAAGTGGTAAACGTCTGAGACCTGCATCACTAAGCTGACACGCCGCGATATAACCGGAATAGTGTCAAAAGCGGCTATAAACCCAACTCACTCACTCACTATAATAGGTGATGTAGGTCTCAGACGTTTACCACTTTGGCGAAACACTCTATCACGGGAGAGCATAAGGGAGTTCGACACCGCTTGTAACAGTATTCCAGGTATATCACGGCATGTCAGCTTAATGTGGGAGGAAAGCCCGAAGTGATGCAGGTCTACCACTTCGGTGAAACCCACGAGCACGGGTATGGTGCTATCAAACTTAGAAACATAATCGGAGCGAACCGGGATTCGAACCCACAATCATAGGTTTCTGGCGTGCCCGAGGGACACAACTCTGCACAGCGAATCGCGGCGCCTTAGACGACAGGACGGAATTTGTGTCATATTGGGATTCGACCCATTTGGCGCAGGAAAGGTTGGATGGACATTTATCATGTAGGTATCTTTGGTGAAGGAATATTTATGTGGAAGGAATAAATATGTAAGAGGGAGTTTGTTAGTCGGAAGTAGACATAATGAAAGTGGAGGGGAGACTATTAATTCACGTCAGAGTGGAATTAAGCTTGTACAGTTATTACCATGCCCCACTAATTGACAGATCTAGATTGACCATTGGTCACTCACTGCCTTGACCACAGATGGCTTATTGAAATAGGAGCATGCTTGTTAAGTGCTGTTGTTTATTGGAGTGGTCAGGCGATGGAGCGAGCGGCGGGAATGATCCCCGGAAACCCGTGGCTCTTTGTGTCGTGGTTTGGGATGGTTGTTTATTGATGTGTTTACATCGCTGTATCTCCTAATACATAGCAATTGACTGAATTATTGAACTGCTGTCAATTTGTTCCAGGATTGTTGTAGATTGATCACAGCAGTTGTATTTAGCGTTGTGCGTGAGTCACTTTAATAAAATGTTAAACAGTGATTCAGTCATCCTATCGCGGCCGTATTTTTAAAAATTAAACACATTGGTGGAGTGAGTTGGGTTTAACGCCGCTTTTAACAGTATTCCAGTTACATCGCGGCGTGTCAGCTTAATGTGGGAGGAAAGCCCGAAGTGATGCAGGTCTCAGACGTTTACCTCTTCGGTGAAACCCACGAACACGGGTATGGTGTTGACAAACCTAGAAACATAATCGTGGCGAACCGGGATTCGAACCCACAATCATAGGTTTCTGGCGTGCCCAAGGGACGCAACTCTCCACAGCGAATCGCGGCGCCTTAGACGACTGGGCCACCCGTGCCCCCCACATTGGGGGCACCAGTGATCACGCTTATCCCGAAACACGGTAAAAATAGGAAGCTCTGGGAGTCAATTAAAGCGACAAAACCATTTTATTAATTCTTTCAAAACTACAGCTGTCAATGGATGTACGTAACTTTAGCACTCTAATATGGCACTGTCGTAAGAATCTCGGTCAACGCCTTCCTACTTTAAATGAATAATTAATCATATGGAACATATTATTTCACAGTTTATTTTTTTTTATTTATCTTTAAGTCATGTGCTCGTTGAACAGATTACACATCTGACAAAGCTAAGCTGGTGGGTGACGGCACTGGACAAGGCCTGTCCTAAACCATGACTGTGGAATATATGCATTCAATTTGATCAAAACCAATAATGGATATATAAATAGGCAAGTCTGTGTCTAGCTAGCCGAATACCACATGAAATCAGCTGTAAAAACATTGTTAGATGAGACAAATGTGCATTAAAAGGTTTCATAGGCTATATGTTAGTCTAGGCAACATGGCCACTAAACGAAACACAGATTACAAAAACATATCGTGTCTGCTTGGACGAGTAATTTGGTTCCAAATTGGCTTTGTTGTCTCAGCAACGAGTGTAGGCGGTTGGATGAGACGGTAATTTGCCGCCGTGGTCTATTTGAAATAATTCTGCCAAAAGTCTCTAGGGGTTTATGGGTAATTGATGCCTTTCTAATTCTGTCTACAATTGTCTGTAACAATTCACTTTTCGTATACATGTATGTGTTTTCCACATACCCGTTATGTTGTTAGTTGTTCAGTTGTACTTTTAACGAAACCCTTTAATCCAAAAAATGTGTGAGAAAATTTGACCCAATAATCAATGGACCTGAATAGTCGACCTAGCTTATTCCACGGGGTTCTAACGGAGTAGTCGGTGAGTACGGGAGGTAACCGCATATGAGGCAAAACAATAGTGAAACATAGAAAAGTGCAACTAGTGAACGAATTATGTATTCGAACGAGTATTATTTTATTTCTAAATGAGTCTGTGTTGATATAACATTCTGAATTACTTTTTTCTATTAATAATAGTTTTCTGAAAAGTCTAGGGGACTTATGGGTAACTGAATAAAAAAGTACATGCATTTCAATATTTATAAACAATTGTTTATAATATGTCACATTTGGTCTAGTAGCTCTTACAATGGACGACATTTTGTCAGTTGTTATTTCTAGTTGTTTAGGCTTGACATAGTTTCTGCCTAAATAGGCTTCTGTGCTTATTCAGTGTGGAAAGACATCAGTTATACATTCAGAACGTTCACATCGAACGTACGTACGTACAGACAGACAGACAGACAGACAGACAGACCTGGGTGTCGGTACTCGCCTTGACAGCCTCCAAGTGACGTCATCGTTGAAGCTAATTAGTTCCATTTATTGATTCAATCATGAAGTAACACATTTTAATTGGCTAGGTTTTTATGTGGATTCTCATATGCGTCAGGGAAATAGAGAATCTCACCCGAGTGTCTTTTGATGTCAAATATATCAACACGAGTTGATAAAAGTGGAAAAATTCCGAGGCTTGCCGAGGATTTTTGCCACTTTTATCAACGAGAGTTGATATATTTGATATCAAAAGACACGAGGGTGAGATTTCATTTATCATCCAACATCATTCTTTCAACTTTTTCAATTTGTAGACAGTAATTAGCAGTGTCTTCAGTGTAAAAAGTACTGCAAACAGCTTCAGTAGCAGAGCCATTAGTGATGTCATTTGATTGTGACGTCATGGTAACCAGTGATGTCACAATGGTCTGCAAAGCATTGTGATGTAATTTCATTGCAGCGATATCTACAGTGTAGATATCGCTGAATCTCATCCAAGCGATATCTCCTGTGGGAGCCAGTTTTGGATGATAAATTTAACTTTCGACTGTTGATATTAATACTTTAGAATCAATAATGCAACTTTGTTTATTTTGCACCTCGTATATTCTCCGCGTTATTTTGAACTTTCTTGTCGTTTTACATGCATCATATGGAAAAGGTACAATGGTAGCTTTGTCAAGCAATGGAACACTTAAAATTGTTAACCTCTCATAGTTTTGCGTTACAGCAATACTCTATAACGCGGGGTACATGGGGTTTTATGCGTCTCGCGTAAGGTTTTATACCACGAGTGATCCTGCTACAACGAGTTTATCGTACTGTCTGAACTGCCTTCGGGTGTCAGTTGCAAGTGCGACCCTGCTACAGTTACTGGAAGTATTGCCGTTCCTGGTCATCATGGTCAATTAAGCCATGACTGTGCAACTCGCCTTGTCCGCATCGGTTAAGCTCCGCCAAGGAGTGATTGGTCTAAAGACGCTTACTCCAAGTTGTCTCCATCAGCATTCATACTCGCATAAAAAAGAAACGCAACACCAGCTATGTACTCACAGTTTTACTTACTCTCAGCCCATCTATCAATACACGACAGGATCAGACCGACCAGGCTCGTCACTTAATTGGAAAACTTAAATCGATCGGGATTCGACTCGATCGACTGCAAACCGCGCTCTCCTCTCCTAATATTGAAGGTATCATTTTATAGTGTTCAGGCCTGGCCTGTCTTTGTCACATGTCACAATACCTCATTTTCATTCGTTAAAAGTTAGATCTGACCATGAACTCATGTGTGTCGTAATCGGAATAAATACCGAAGCCTACGTGCCAGATTGATCATCTCTATTGATTTTGTGACTTACTCCGGATGTTACAAATGAAAAGTATCTTACCTCTTTGCTTGTTTCATTAACTAATCGACGATAACATGGAACCAATCCAGTGATTAATATGAAATGTCGAGAATACTGTTGTGATAAATGTGAAAAGTCTTTTATCTATCAATTCCTTTCGAACTAAAAGTTATCTTAATATGCAATGTCCTGAATACTCTTGTGAT